ATTTTGAACAATTTTTCGTGTATAAAAAAGTCTAATATAAACATTCAGTGAACATTTTATGTATTTACGATCATATGTTTTAGAGTTACACCAAAATCGAAATTCGATTTTATCAAAAACTGATTTTGCGTAAAAAATCCCGTTTTTCCATAATTATTATTTTGTTTTTCCGGGCGCTTTTGAAAACTATTGGAAATTTTAAATAGTACCAACTATTCACTTTCCCATAGAACAAGATACTGAAGTTGAAATTCGAAGCATTATTTCGATTACTAATCGTGTGCACAGACACAAAAATAAAAAAAAAAACCCACATCATTGTTAAATCAATACATTCATCGTTCCACTCAGGATCTATACACATGCATATCAATAATTGATATATTTTAGATTCTAAGTCTGAATTTTACTGAATTCTGTTGGTAATATTTTACATACATTTTAAATCAAATTACAATTGTACAGTGAAAGTCGTACTTTACCTTTAAGACATTTATAACAGGAAATGGAAAAAAATTATGAGTTATCTCTTTTTAGATTACTCTTATCTATATAGATCTATCAAAGTACCATTATTACATATTATTAAATTTTTACTTAGGTACCTACAAAATTAAACATTTTTGGTGACCATCATAGGAATCACAAAACAATATAATATTAAAATCTTACTGAATTATTTATGATGCAAATACAATCATTTTTAAACGTTTATAATATATTGTAATGAAAATTTTTTGTTTTTAGGTACCTATATAGTTGTTAATACAAATTATGAATATGACAGCTAAGATATTATTATGATGCGAAGGCAGTACCTATTCTGTATTCAGATTTTATCAATAATTTGTGCTTTCACTCTACATCAAACAGATTACGAAACTCGTGTAGTTCCTCTTGTTTTATTTCGTTTAAAATAAAATATGAACGCATTTTTAAAACCTAGGTATAGGTATACAAAGCCAATACCATCCACCAGGTTTAAAAATTCTCACGGTCCTCACGTCGGAGAAAATCGCCCTACAACTCAGATAAGAGTATATATTATAAAAGGCTTTTGATTTTTATTAGGAATTAAATAATTATGAAAATAGTGATAATTTAGTTTCTACGATTAACGTGTATTGCACAATAATCAAAATCAAATACTGTCTAGTATAAAACAACTGAATGAAATATAACACCTATGTTATACTCGGATAATATAGAAATTATGCCTTTCGCAAAATGGGCAAAGGTGATAAATATCCTAAATTGTGCCCGTCTCGTCATTGCTGTCAATAAAATATTTACAATCGCTATTCCGATAGCTAAATGAATATTATTAAAATAAATAAAAAATACCGTTTCATTTTTCATTACTAAATACACACATGCATTCGTCGTCCGATAAGATATAATAATATAATAAAAGTTGTATGAATTTTATATTTTGTTGTATCGTTAAAAAGGATTGACTTCTAAACTTTACTGCGTCAAATGCAGCACTCGTCTGCGTTCGTCTACAGCAATGGCATTATTCAAGTTACGATATTTTTCATAACTTGCGACGATTTCGTTTTAACGGTTTAAACTTTAACGGCCATCGGATTGCGCGGACGTTGTGTATATAAAATAAAAATAATTCTCTCGACTAAACTCGTAGATCCGCTCGTGGTATAAAATACTATTTACTAGATACGATATGAGTATATAAATCGGACACAAAGATGACTAGTAAAATACTAAAACGAGACGATTCAATATGATATACGATAAAAAAAAAGACGTATTATATAGGTCACTATAACCATGGCACGGCTTACGATTTTTACACGAAAACCGTTGTTTATTTTTAATTTGTTAGGTACACAATAATATTCAATAACCAATTATTTATTTCTCCCGAAGCCCGTGGGTTACTCCTAAGGGTTTTTGCAGTAATATTTTCCATCGGTGATATTCGAATCCAGTCACGAGACGTACTGTAACAAAGATATTATTATCGTTTAAAAAAATATGCACATAATAACGAAAACTATTATATTTTTATCTAAAATATTATTTTATTTACATCTATATAATCCATCTATAGTTTTGTGACTGCAGGGTTATTAACTATTTAAAATATTATTAGTTTGTTCATGTTGCTATACCTATACCTACATTCATATTTCATAGTAAATTTTGAATAGTTGACACGTTTTTAAAAATATATTTTAAAATATGTAATTACTTATTACCTGTCTATTTGATTATTATACATAAAAACATGTACGCAGTTTACTTGGCTAGACAATATGTGGTCGTCACATATTATATATTATTATAACTGATGAGTTATAAATAGGAAGGTAAGTCAAACTGAAAGTGACTAATTGCATTACCAATTACAAATTGGTTCGAAATATTATATCGACGCTTAAATGAGACATAAAACATACTACGTATTTATTTCTTATTCCCTGTAAAGACGTATTGTGATAAAATTAGTTTGGTCATAACGAGTGTCCCATTAAAAATAAACATTATTTAACTCATTCATGTATGAATTGTGCGCAATAGATTTATTTCTATTAATTCTTTTGGATTGCATTTATTTATTTAAAAAATCATAGAGACATTTTTTTTTGAGATTGTGTACAGCATGTCAACGGTTATATTTTAACTAATACTTTATTTTATAAATTTATACATTTATAACGTAGGTAGGTAATTCAAGATAAATACATAAAACAATTTCAAGACTTATTCATCGAGAAAATCTTAACACAAATGTCTCCAATGACTTATAGTTTTATAAATGGTACATATTAATTATTATAATCCAGAATTATGGTTATTGACATTGAAGGAAGTTTTGAATAAAAAGTGGCCGTCAGGTTGTCAAATATTCACTTAATTTTCTCAATGTATTTTTAACAACTATAATATAAGCATTATATTTTTGTTTTAAGAGGTCGATTGACATTAGGTACTTGAAGTACTACTCTATAATATATATATATAAGGCAGGCTCTACCTATAATGCAATTTAGTATTTATAGATTTAGTTTATTCAATCATGCATTTTTGGTAGTCAACAGCTGTGAAAGTTATAGTAGTGTATTAAACTAATATTATCGTTCTAAAATATTTATGTGGATATTAATAATATTAATGGATTACCTTAGCTGGAAGCTGGAACATCGTAGATATTCGGCCATAACCATCCAACACGATATTTGAAATATCTATCATTTATTAGTTTTCAAGAAAGAATCGTAGCCAGGGGTCGACGGAAAACACTAGAGCCATACGGAAATTGGGCGAACCGGCTATGCAGAAACATAAAAAAAAACGATTCAGATAAGGACGTTGGGTACTGCAAGATAACTACTTATTTTGTAAACGAAAAACAGTAAACACGAGATAAAACAACGAAAGAATTATTAAGTCGATAATATTGTCTAGGTCGATTTGTATTATAGGAGGAAACGTATATCTAATACCTATTATACCTATTGACTATTGTAATTATTTTTTTTTATCGATTTCAATGTTATGTAAGCGTATATCTAACGAATAGTAACTTGTGGTAATGGAATAATAAAGACTTTTTTTTTGGTTTTAATCGTTTACGACAATTTTTATTTCATGTTCAACCGTATTCAAATTGTTTTTTTTTTTTCGTTCGTCAGTAGATTTAGATAAATAATGATAGGTACACGGTCAATCAATTTAATTAGTTAAACATAATTGGCCATAAATATATAGGTATTACAAATCTAGAATATTTTGATTTACTGGATGATTAGTGGTTATATTAGAAGACTGGACAATAAAAAAAAATGATTTAGTTAAAGCTTATATTTTGGTTTTACTTTATTATCTTTACTATTTGATTTAAAAGTGACATAATATTTTTTCATTTTTCTAATCGAATTAAGATGATTTTGAATTGTAATTACCAGAAAAATATTTGTATGTTTATCCCTACAAAATATGAACCCAGTGGTAAGGGTAACTACTAAGTACTAAAATTAAGAGGCAACATGATTTTGATGATATAAATATAACATAATGTGTTACATATAGATGTATGTCCAAGTTATGTATATTTTTGCTGAGAAAATTAATGATGTATATTTTAATATTAAGTTTGTGGAAGTTGTGATATTGGTTAGACAGTTTCATTAACCCGGTCATCCTTGAATTGATATGATAAGAACACGTGATGTTTTCGATCGTTCTAGGTTAGGCTATATTTCACACGAGGCTCGCTTGTAGACCAAATTTCGGGTTATTAGCTACATGAACAATAATAGCATACGAAACAATATTAAAGGACACGGCAGTGAACCGAATGATGTCACCATTATAGTACAAATTATGTGGGATACCTACGTCTGATCCACTATTTTCGATCGGTTTTTTTCCCTCCCCCATGATTCACTTCAATTCCGCTGAAATCCAAGCATAGATCCATTCGCATTGGTATCGTTATTCGGGGCGATTAATATGCGGAATTAGGACGTGACCTAGAAACCGCGGTAGTGGCCGATGCTCACCCGACCCGTGTCGGACGTTGTTATCAGCAATAAACCATGTTGCGGAAGCCTCGCGACGTCAGACCCAGGCGCCACCGTTATCACAATCATCGTCATTAACATTGCCATCATCGTCGTTATTATTACTAGCGTCTGCAGGCACACAGACGACCGACGACCGGTGGTGCCCGGCAAGGCCCGGAGCCGACCATGACCTTGGTATTGGTCGAAACCGTACGCGGACGCGATGCGCGCGATCGCAATACGACGCGAAAAACCGACGAAAAAAAATCCGAGTCGGGCCAATATAAATACTCGCGTCCGGTGTGAGTTTATGATCAGTGCAGTTCACTCAATCGAACAGTCGACACACATCATCGTCTGCGTCCGAAATCTAAACATTCGTTAGATTTTTCTACGCATATTATTATAAACGGTCACCCGTCGCGTTTTCAGAAACCGTCGTATTATATATAAACATAATATCCAACCATGTGGAAAGTCTTGTGCTTGGTGACCGTCGCGGCGCTGGTCGGACCCTCTTTCCAGCGGGCACCGGTGAGTGGAAAAGCTCGTGATACACATTCGGTCGATCGATAAATGATCGATTCGCGGATCGCCGAGATTTCGTCTATCGTAAATATATATTGTTGACTGACGTCTGTGTGCCCGTTGTTTTTTAAGGTACTCATCACGGTCAACCACTCCGAGGGCAAGCCCGGCGATCTCAGCCAGTCGGCGTTCGCGGATTACGTCAACTGGTGGCAAAACATTATCGGCATCATCAACCACACCGAAGAACCCGCCGCCGAGCCGCCCATAACGCCGATCGACCAGACCACGTGCACCCCGTGCAGTGAGTATATACACAATTAATAATAATCTCGTTAAATAAACTCATCGATAATGTTCGCGTGTCTCACCACCGTATTATCTTACTATAATGGCATATTCACGAGTATATAATACGGGGAGGGCCACCCTGCAGTTAACCACTGCAAAGTCACCGCAGATAAACACTGCGCATACTACCCTGCATTGTAATCTTATCGCCTATATACGCGTACCGATGATAGTGATAATAATTATTGTTATATTAAAGCTTGCGGAGCGTTGGGCAAGAAGAACAGAATCGTCGGAGGCACCCCCACGTACATGCACCAATACCCGTGGATGGCCATGCTCACGTACAAGGGCAAATTCTACTGTGGAGCGACGGTCATCAATCACAAATACGTCATGACGGCCGCCCATTGCGTGCACGGGTAATTTATAAACCTAATATTATACGTGCACACTATATAATGTAGAATTATAATATGAGCGTACACGTTTCCAATCAATTTGAAAAATTTTACCAGTGTAAACTTTAACATGTTACCGAATTTTTGAGACACTGTTACATAGGTATAGGTACCTACAATAGTTTATTATAATAATATTATAACCTACTTATAAAATATTTTATAAAGTAAGACTATTCAGAGTCCGATTCCAATGCTGGGACGATTGAAGATAATTTTATCACAACATCGTAATATTTTTTTCACTGACGAAATAACTTTCACGGTGCCCATAATATGCATACTTACGATACGGTACTGCCGTCGGCCGTCGCTATAATAATTGTCTATTAATTGTCTACCTATATTATATATTATATTATTATAGTCGAAGAAGATTGACGACTACAATTTTTCGTGAAAACACATTTTCGGACAACGACAAAAATATAATAAACTTTTACTTTCAGCGGGGTGTTCGGTACACCTTCAGCAATTCCCCAAATAGTTTTATAAGTACTTAAAAGCTTTCAAAAATTCAAGACTTTCACTCGCGAAAGATTTCCATTAAGGTGCGCCCAAATAGACAAGACAGATTTCGAACGTCAAGTTTTGGGGAAAATATCCGATGAAATCTCAGTGGATTAAAATAAAATCTATTAAAAAGTTTGAAAGTAAATAACATGATTTTGACCTTTTTCGGCAGTGCGCCATTAGTCAAAACGACTTTTCAAATTCATTTCGAATTAGATTTGTTTATTATTGTCACATTATATAATTATATATTATGAAGTGTACAGCTGAGATTTGATGGATTAAGTATATTTTTGTTTTCAATCACTCGTCAATAAATAAAAATACCAACTTTAATATTCCGAACGATTTCAAACATAATATAGATTCGAAGCGAAAAACATCGGCGTGCGACTTTTGGAACACGATCGTAGTGATACAGAAGAAGCGAAACACATCGACTTCAAAGTGGTGAGGGTGATCAAACACAAGGGGTATAGCCCGACGTCTTACAACAACGACATCGCACTGTTGCGTATGGAAACCGATGGGGTGGAATTCGGACCCAACACCGGTATTCATCCGGTCTGTCTGCCGACCGAAGGTAACCGCGGCGTTCAGAACTCAAATCGGGTTGTGGTTACCCGATACCCATAACGACCCGGCGGTGCAAATGCTTAATATTATAAATAAATACGACCGTTTACCTTTGCAGGCAAGAGTTTCGCTGGCTACGAGGGCGTCATCACCGGTTGGGGAGCCAAGAAACAGGGAGGTTCGTCGTCGCAGGTACTGCACGAGGTGTACGTGCCGATCATGAGCAACGACGATTGCAAAAAGACGGAATACGACGAGAAACGCATCACGGCCAACATGATGTGCGCCGGATATCCGGAAGGCAAAAAGGACTCTTGCCAAGTAATTATATTTTGTCAGCGATTGTTTTTCTAACTATAAAATACCATTTTAAGTAACGTTGGTTGCGTGGAAGAGCCGTCACGTAAATCCAATTACTACACCTGTATGAATAATAGTAATTATCATGCCATTATCGTAAGTTCAAACGTTTTCGGGGTGATGTCGATGGTTTTTGTACACGCCGCGGGGTTTTTGTTGGAAGGGTGCCGGCGGGGGGGGGGACGGCATGTTTTCCGAGGCGTCACGAACAGAACGAACAAGCGAATACCATCGTTTTGATATTATGCACAACCAATAATAAGTATATCATAGTATTATAATTGTTATTATTGCCGTGATAATTATTATTGTGCGCCGTCATCACATATTAATATACCGAGGCGGAAGTTTACGGTTAAGAGCACACGGGCGCGTACTTAAGTCGTCCTCGTCGTTATACTCGGAAAGCATTTGAAATCCGACTCGAGGCCGCCCAAAGTTCGCCAGGTAAGTTTCGATAAGACAACGCGGTTCGCCGATTCGCATGTATAATAATTAATTCGCTCCCCACTCGCGTGTATATTATTATTATACTTATATACCTATACGTACACGTTGTGGCTGCGAATCGCGTTCGTTACGACTGAATCTGACGTTTTCAGACTTACAAATACTGTGTAATGATAATACTACAAAGAGTAGGAATATAACGATATTTCAATAAAACCTGCTCCCGAAACAATCGAAACGTTTGACAGTTACAAAACAACGCGCACCGCGGTATAGTATTTGTTTTAATAATTAATAATCATAATAATAATATAATTGAATACTAATTTTAATTAACGAACCGGCGCGGTTAAAGTTTTCGTTCGGCCTCCTGCAGACTGTTCCAGTATACAACGAGATGATATTGCCATTACAACTCCAGATACCCTACCAATATGTATAATATTAATAATTTCCATCACGACAGTAGCGGATCCAGAAGTCCCCCAAGGGGGGGGGGGCGAATTTTGCAAAATTAAATTGTCTTTTTGTTTAGCCAAACATTATAATAGAAAATAAAGTTAAAGAGACTGCCCGAGAGGGGGGGCGAACGCCCCTTCGTCTTTCCCCCGTTACTGCATCACGATCTGTTGCTCGTTTTCGGAAATGTCATCTGCATTTTTTCTGAGCGTAATTGTACGGGTACATAAAACTTCGAGTTCTCGGATGATCATACAGCATTCGATATCATTTCGGGACTTGGGGTCTCAAAAATATTTCGTTGCCGCTTTGATATCGATCACTGTGAATCTATCCGATCACGGCAATCGTTATTTATTTTTTTTTTTATTACAATTACCAGTTAGTAGTTTATTTTTGTTCCCTTGATCTTTATTGCGTTTTTCGTTTGTATTCACAGGGCGACAGCGGCGGCCCCATGCACATCGCCAACAACACGGCTTATCACATAGTCGGTGAGTATACAGTATACATATAATATTAATCAAAATTCGTTAACTCGGGTACAACTTCCGATTTAATTATTGTTTTGTTTTTCGTTTCGTTCGTCCTTCCAGGAGTGGTATCCTGGGGAGAAGGATGCGCCCAGGCCAACCGACCAGGCGTGTACTCCCGAGTGAACAGATACCTGAACTGGGTGGCCAACCACACGGTGGACGCCTGTCCGTGTACGAACGTTTACACTCCGCCGGAATAATTCATCTCTAACAGCTGCAGTGTCATCGTTGTGCTGACGTCACTCAACCACCGTACTTGCAATTCTCATGCATACTAAGTCATCACAATGGATTTAATTTGGATCTCACATTATCGCGACGACTCGCTGTTGTAATCGACACCATAATAATATCATTATTATATTATTTATTATTATTATATTATTTATTATTATTATATTTATTTATTATATAATTTATTGCAACACTATTATTATTATTATTATTATTTATTACACTATATTGTATTAATGTGCGATTGGCGAGTCGAAAATATGCAAATATATTTTTTATTCTAAACGATATGAAAACGTGTATTATATTATGCGATAATAATTTTCCTATGCTTTTCGATCCAAACGGATTTTCGGGGTACGTCGACCGTGCATTTTCATTCTACCAAAATGTATACAGTCCTATTGTTGATTTCGTTCTGTTGCGGCGATTGAGACTTCTCGTCTTCACTACCAGCGCATGCGGTAATTGAAATGCAATAATTTCGAATCCGATGAAATCAAAACGCGAAAACTTTGAAATGATTACACCCCCAATGCAATGTGCGTTGAATATTCCCCCTCTTTCCTCACGTCGTCTTGAAGTGGACATCCGATTCCTTTCATCTCTTTTAGATGACTCAATCGACGCACCTGATCATGCCAGTATTAACTACCATCGTATATCTCCAGAAATCAAACACCCTTCCTTGGTCCATCTCAGTCCAATTCTAATCGTCATAAGTCATAACCACCCAGTCGTACCCTTAATGATGCCACTATAACTTAATGTTAGTTTTTTCCCCTTTTCTTTCTTCGTGTACCTATTTGATCAATGTTATAAATTGTACCTATCTTAATTATTGTGACTACCATACTATGTATATAATTATAATATATACCGTATGTATGCGAAAATAGGGTATACTGAATAATTAAATTACCCATACTACTCAGTAACCCATAACTTTCGAATTCTGTTTGTGGAATATAAAAGTAGGCAATTGGATCATCAATCTCCCATAGACAGAATTCCAAAATATGTATAGTTATAATACTTAATAATGAAGGTAACTGAGTTATAGAGTGTACCCAAATCTCGTTGGCACACGGTATAATATATGCCTTATATTATGTTATTTTAAATTGCCATAAGGCGTCAAGACGTTAAAGTAAAAATAAAATAGTAAATTATTGAAAACCTAAAGCACGGTTGACTATTTTTTCGGATAATTTGGTTGATCGGCATTCACTTTTAGCTGAAATTATAGCACACCGTTAGTGAGTAATCGGACTTATCGCAGTCACCTGTTGATTATTATTTATTATTACTGATTTATACACAAACACTATCGCAGAAGTAAGATTTGTTGCCGACGTTGAACTCCTCCAATCTCATATAAAAATGTACACTATGTTCGTGTGGTGATGAATTTAAGTTTTCATAATTATATATCGCGTGAATTCGATTTGTAGTCAACGTTCAATATTATCTATCTGTTTTTGTCACATTGCTGAATTTATACGTGTAAATTTAAACAAAAACATCTTAACTGTGTCAGTGAATATAGCCTATAGGTACATATTACCCAGTGTTGGGAATAGATAGGTTACTAAAATAGTATCTAGATGAAGATAATAGATTATTGATAGAAAAAAAAAAATAGATAAGTAACTATATTTATGTATTTTTTATACTTGACATAAATTATATAGTAACTAATAACTATGCATGCGTAGCTTTCTCTTAACATATTAAGAACACAAGTAGATTAGTTAAAATTGTTAAAATAAAATATTTTAAAATATTATCCGGTAATTAAAATTAAAGTTACACGAACACAAGAGAATGATAATAACAGTTATATTGGTGTAATTTGTATTTAAAATACGTACAGCTAAATTTAAAAAAAAAATAAAAACTTTTTAACTCGTTAATTAAGTCTTAAAGTGAATGAAGTATTATGTGATTAAACTTATTTATTAAAATGTACACTATCGATTTTACAATCTCGAATCTTGTGTTTAATGTTTAGTTTAATCTGTGATACATTTTTCCAATACAATAGTGCGGTATATTGTATAGTATAGATGGCAGGTATTGATCTAAGTAAGTCTAAGTAAGTAATACAAAAGTTGAAAGTGATTGTTGTCTTTCAAATCCCAAAAGAAGATATAGATATCTAATAATCTAAAATCAATATTCTATTTCAAACATAAATAACGTTTTAAACCATTTTCATTTTAAATTAAAGCATGTTGCTTAAACTTTGGAAAAAAATTCTTATTCTACTTCGTAGGTACTCTGAATGCAAGGGAAATTGAAATTTTAAAAAACGAAATGTTTCATTTGGCTGTCAATTTCAATTCGACTTCCCGGATCCATCTTGTTGGGAGTATTGGGATTTTAATTATATTTCATAAAATTTACTACTATTGTCTTTAAAGCTAATCAATATTCCGAACATATTTTAAGAAGTAAGAACGTTAAATTGTTAACGTAAAGAACTAAAAATATATAAAAATTTATAATCATTATTCATTACCTACTCATTGTTTGTTTTAATTTTTCGCTTAGTTCCTGGTTAGCGTTTTATTAGTAGGTAGATATCCAATATAATAAATTGCTCTGTAATAACATATTAGTTCAGCCACGTGCGTGGATTTGCTCTTGACATAACATCGTAAGTTGGTTTTTTTAGATGAATTCGAAATAATATTATTAAAATGATATGCCATATGATATTATTATAGCTTTTTAAGCATAGAAGGGTTTCAAATTGAAACATTCTACGACCGAAAAGTTACTGTAGTACCTGTCTGTCTGCTGAACGACTGCAATGACCAGCGGGCAGCGGGTAACGATGGGTTTTTAAAATATATTATGCGATTGAAAATCATATAAATATACAGACTTGGCAAAATTCTATTGTATTTTTCACACTTTGAACAGAACACGATAGTTCAATTAATCGTCCACCGGTCTACGACAGATGCGCTGCACTTCTCGCCAGGTAGCTGGTAACCTATACGTACCAATTAAATATATATTTAAATAATTTTTAACCAAAAACTTGCAATAACATAATATTATAATAATATGATGTAGGTAATGATTGAAAAGGTAGTAGATGTATTTTCGAAATTATTTACATAATAGGTACTAACTGTCTAATAATTATATCTGTCGACCATTTCTTATAAATCATGTTGTAGGTACTTAGTAGTTTTTATTTCGCCAGGTATGTGCATTGCAAAATTATATTTTATTTTCTTAAGTATAAATGTATAGTTTATGTGAACAATTTATTCATAAATGTTGAGAAAACATTTAAAAATAGACATGGTATATTATATTAATAGTATTATTATAAAATGTAAGTAAACAATTGATTTCAGGCGATCATACACTGTGACGTTTTTCCGTTTGTGGGCTTCTGGGTTTCCTGTCGACCCAAAACGTCTCCATTTTACCTTTTCCCTGGAAAAAACAAAAACATAAAAGTTATTATGACTACAACATGTCTAATGTCGACAATAAGCTTATAATATTCGTCATTAAACTTCCGCCACTTTATAACTTTGTTTTTTTTTTGTGTGCCTTACCTTAACGGTCACGAGTCCCCTCGACGTCAACGTGTACAAGTTCTGTGGCAAAAGTCGCTTGGTCGTGACGGAGATATGAATTTTTCCCGGCTGACAGATAAAACAAACGAAATACTCAATAAAAACACACCAACCAATTACGATCTGGCGATACTAATTTGGTGCAGATTATGGGCATGATCAGTGGCGTCCGCAGGGGTAGGTTCTAGGGTTCTGGCCACCCCTGAAATTTCTTTTTTCTATAAAAAATTTTATTTACCACCATTTTGGTGCACACATATCAATTTTTGGTAATTTTTAATATATATAAAATAAATTGTTCTGACAAAGACGTCGATAATCAGTGGTTTCAGTTTTTTTTTTTTGGCTGATTTAGAGAATTGTTAAACGTCTGCCATAATCGATGGTGTATCATCATCGTCCATCGGTTATTACCACGTTTATTACGGGCCGATGAGGCTCTATATAGATGACCAGGTTACACACTGTAAATGTAGACTAAATTTGAGACTAACTATAATTTGTTATATAAAACTGTTTAGAAAACATAATGTACTCGGCCACTCGGGTAAAACCCTAACTGAACTAAAATCCTGCGTACGCTACTGAGCATGCTAATGGTCGTATAATAATACATATGGGCTATGGGCAGGTACATAAAACACTGCACGGATTTTGAATTTCCATATTATTCGGTAAAACGTTTACCTGGCTGGTGGTTTGCATCCTGGACGCCGTGTTGACGGTGTCGCCGAACAGACAGTACCGTGGAACTTTCATGCCGACCACTCCAGCGACGACGGGACCCGAATGGATGCCTATACATATTTATACTGAATAATCCTATACTATAAAATTATTGTATAAAATATAAGGTATAATAGGTATACAGGTCGTTGGTACTCGCACACAATCGCCCGCGGCTTACTATTAGGTTCACACAATCAAAGTCCTCCACCCACCCACCGCCTAACCTTTAAAACGTATACACGCGACTGTTTGTTGGTTGAATACTATGAATAAAACTGATCCTTACACTTTCTTAAATATTTACATAAATATTGATTCTTATTATTGAACTAAAAAATGTTGGGATTTTTTTTTTAGTTGACGTTACAGTGACATTTGATGTCTCCGTCTTACAAGTGCGTAACATAGCAAATTTTACGCTCAGCAGAACACGTATATCTCCCGTTAGTTTAAAAACTAGAGTAAATTGACCTCTTATAAAATTTAAATGTAAAATTATTATCTAGACAATGGCATAGGCTTTTTATTATAATTTAATTTTAAAGCGAGTTATGTGTATTTTAAAATTGTAAACTGTTTGTACATCTTACAATACACATGACTCACTTTAAAATTAAAATATAATAAAAAGCCTATGACATTATCTAGATAATAATCTTACCTTTAAATTTTATAAGAGGTCAATTTGCTCTAGTTTTTAAACTAACGGGAGATATACGTGTTCTGCTGAGCGTAAAATTTGCTATGTTACATACTCGTAAGACGGACAACAAATGTTACTAAAAAAAATTGATATACATTTTATGAATAATTGTGAGTCACTGGTAATCAAGTAATAATTTCTAAAAACCACCATATTCCGAAAAAGTTATCGATTTACAAAGTAGACCGTCCAGTACAACATCATGAACATGACTGTGTATTATAACTTATATATTATTATATCGATCTAAAAATAGTGACTTATAAAAAGCAAACACTTCAAATCATGATAATATGTTATACCAGTTAGTGGTGGTGTAGAAATAGTAGGGGAGGCTGTGAATTGTACATCTGAATTTGTTGAACAAACCGAAACATTATATCCAATAATTCCTAAGAGGATGTCAGCGCACTATTTGATTTCTCCCCTTGGCCCACTCGCAACATAGACAAAATGCATTAACACAGTATCATTTTTTCTATGTTATTAAGTAATCTTAGAGTAAAATTACCTATTAAAAAAAAAAAAAATAATGAATAATATTTTTGAGGGAATGACATATCGATTTTATATTTTATTGTTATTTGACTTTGTATTCGACTTTCAAAGAAAACAAAAAAATGTTGAGAATTAAAATTATGTTTAAATTGTTTTGAGACAATATTTAGACAAATCTATAATTCATTCCCTTAGAAATATTATCCTCTATTTTTTTTTGTAATAGTT